GAAACTGTTGGAAGGTAAGATAAAATAAAATATATTAATCATTTCATTATTTTCTGTATAGTTTACACTATAGTCCTTAGATGAGCATGCCATTTTAACTTATTGGATAAAATTTAAATGATTTATTAAATAATTAAAAAACTTATGTTTGCAGCTTGCTTTCGAACCCAGAAGTTCTACGTCAGTTACAAACCCTTCAACAAACTATGACCCAACAACAGCAGGAAATGGATATGGAAAAATTGCGTAAGTTACAGGAAATGAAGCAGCAAGAAGAAGAATTTGATAAACACCTCGCTCAAACTGTACCAGTAAGTAGGCTTACACTTAAATCTCTTACGAACCCATAGACTGCTTCCATTATTATTTTATTGCTATCTCCAAACCTGATATTTTCTTAATTTTACTGGTATTGCTTTTGTAAAAGGTTCTTCTTTACTTACTTAAATACGTAATATTATATGTATATCTTAATATATTTTTTTAATTGTGAAAAACGGTAACTAAGTATATGTTATTTTTATTATAATTATCTGATTCGGTTATGAGGGCATATTAATTGTTTGTTATCTTTTAAGAATCTACCTTTTGCGGCTGAATGTGAACTAAAACCGCCCCCGTCGATTAATAACTCACCGGCTATTCCTCCTGGTTATTATTTCCCACCAAGTGGCGGCCAAGATGTCAGTATCCCACCTCCGAATTACAAGCCACCTCTACCTTACGATATGCAGCAGCCGCAGGACAATAACATGATCGGTGTAGGAGGTGGTACTTACAAAGACGTAAACGAGGACAGCGGTGACGTTGAGGTAACTGTTTACCATTAGAATTTTGAGTATACAAAATAATACATGGAAGTTATATATTGTAGAGATTATGAACGATATATTCCTTCTAATATTAAAACACATTTGTTTAATGATATTTTTCTATCAAAGGTAATTAATCTGGACCGGAGTCGTTCAAGAAGTTTGTCTCCGAGGGATGATAGACATCGACGTAGAAGAAGTCGTTCGAGGGAACGATCCCGCGACAGGGGAAGGACTAGAGATTCTCATCGGAGAAGAAGATCTCGCAGTAAATCATCTAGATCTAGATCCCGTTCAAAAACTAGGCGACATCGATCTCGATCAAGAGACAGAGAAAAAGATCGCGAAAAGGAAACGGAAAAAGACAAAGAGAGAAAGAAACGAGGACTTCCGCCTATTAAGAAGGATCATCTTAGTGGTAAGTATCGTTCTCAAGTTTCAATATTTTGATTATAAATGATTCATTCAATAGTCAACGGGACCACCTAATTTTTTTATTTAGTTTGCAGTACAACCTTGTGGGTTGGTCATCTTTCAAAGTTGGTACATCAGGAGGAGTTATCTGACACTTTCGGAAAAATTGGTGAAATTGTTAGCATTGATCTGATTCCTCCAAGAGGATGTGCTTTTATTGTAATGCATCGACGCCAGGATGCAGCCAAATGTCTGTCTAAATTGAAAAACCATAAGTTACAGGGAAAAGCAATAACTGTAAGCAAAACTTTTTTTTATTTAGTCTATAATAATATATAATTCTAATTTTTTCAATGATTAGGTAGCATGGGCGCCAGGCAAAGGTGTGAAAGGTAAAGATTTGAAAGATTATTGGGAAGTAGAGCAGGGAGTTTCCTATGTACCGTGGTCAAAAATTAAGCCCGATATCGATCTTGATTTGCTCGAAGACGGTGGAATGATCGACGAAGAAACCGTTCCAGACTGGATGAAGGCTCGCCTTGCACAACAACAACAAAAACCACAAGCTCCTCAAGTTCTTTTACCTAATATATCAGTTAGCGCAGATGGTAACGTCAGTTTTGTAACGATACCAGGAGCTGCAGCAAATTCAACTGTGGATACTACACAACCACCCCCAATGCCACCTAATGCTGCAGGTAGTCTTATTCAGCCTCCTCCAGCCATGCCTCTATCTCTCGTGCCCCCGTTTCAACTTAATAACAGGCTACTCGGCATGAATTTGTCGGGTATGATTCCAAATGTCCCCATTGGGGTTCCACCTCCCAGCATGCCTCCGCCTATGATTCCAAATCAACTTTTAGGCTTGGGTGGATCACCTTTCGGTCAGAGCGTTTTGTCACAATTACCACTGGACAAAGTACAACCACCTATGTCTTCTGAATCTTTACTGGGGATACCAGGAGGGCCCGCCTTTGGTATTCCGTCACCAGCAATGACAGCTTCTCATGACGATCATAACATGGATGTAGAAATGGAAGATGCAGATCAGCACACAAGAGGGAATGAACGCAGGGGATCAGCGAGTACAATGCTTAGCGATCAATTATTGGCCCACGTTCAACAAAAGGATACTTTCAGCACCGCTCTTAGCAGATTACATGCGGTAACGGGTGGTGTTAAATATCGCGATGAAGAAGGTCATAGAAGAAATAACGATTCGCGTAGTGAAGGACGTGATGATCGAGAAAGAGGTGGTCGTGATTACGGACGCCGGGACCGAAGAGATAGATCACGCAGTCGCGACAGGAACCGTAGTAGAGGAGACAGGAACGACCGCAGGGATCGGAAAGATCGCGGAGGAAACAGTAGATGGAGTGATCGTGATCGGGATCGTGATCAACGAAGATTGTCGTCTGAGCGAAATAACGACAAAAAGAGCAATAGTGAAAAAAGCTTAAACGACCGTCTAATGGAAATGGCGAATTCAAGTGCATATCCCCCAGAAAAGGACGATGAAAAGCCCCGTCCGTTGTTTGAACCACCGCCACCACTGTTCGATGATCGTTCAGTAGATCTGAAACCACCTCCTAAAGATGTGGAAGATAATCTACTAGAAGATTTCGTACCGCCGTTTGATCCACGATCGGCTCTTCATAACGATAGCTTCGAATCACATGGTCCCAAAAACGATCTTTTTGAACCAAATGCCAATGATTTTACAAATCGCCAGGCTTTGGATGGTTTCGTAGCAGATAATAACGATAGTTTTCAACCTCCAGATGAAAAATACGGACCTCCAAATAATGACGGACGTTTCGAACCATCAAACAAGCATTTCGAAGATGATTATCGGGGTCCTTCACATAACGACAATTTCGGTCCGGTAGAAGAATTCCACCCACGAGGTGGTGTTCGTAGAAGGTGGAATACGCCTCATGAAGAATTCGAACAACCTGGTCCCAGTTTCGATAACGAACATGGCTTTGACAACCTGGACAATATAGAAAATGATATGCCCATGAAAAGGGCAGGAATGTTCCGTAGGAGAGATGGCCCCGGGTTCCAAGAGGAAATAGGCGACGATGAATTTGAAACACAAATGAGACCAAGACAGGCAGGACCTCCAGGACTTTTAGGACCCCCTGGTCGTATAGGACCTCCTGGACCCATGGGTCCGCCGGGCCCATTAGGGCCACCTGGAGCGGAGTTTTGGAGGCCTCCGAGGCCAATGTTGCGTGGACCTGGACCAGAAGGATTTGGACCCCGTATGCGACCACCTGGACCGAGAATGTTCAATCCAAGAGGTGGAATGAGAGGACCCCGCCCACCAGGTTAGTTAGTGTGAATATTTTTAGTTTAAGGTGGTACATTCATAAATAAAGAAATTATTTTATCTTTTTTTTTTTTTAAATTTTAGGTCCATGGATGGAAGGTGGTATGCGACCTAATTTTAATCCGCGTTTTGATGGACCACCGCGTTTCGATGGTCCACCGCGTTTTGACGGTCCTCGTTTTGATGGCCCCCGCTTTGACGGCCCTCCACGTTTCGATGGTCCGCCTAGATTCGAGGGTCCACCACGTTTCGATGGTCCCCCTGAATTCTTCAGGGGTCGATTGCACGGTCGGGGATTCGATTCGCGTCGAGGCAGACGAGACGACCGTAGACGTTTTCGCGGACCAGACTTTGAACCTCCCGAGGATGGTGGAGGTGATTTCGAAGGCGGTCCTGAAGAATGGCCAAGAAATAGACGAGACGATAGGAATGGTGGTCGTTTTCATAGGGACTTTGAAGGAGATGGTGACGGTGAGTGGCATAGAAGGGTATTCCGAGAAAAGAGCAGCAGGTGGACTAACGCCTCTCAAGAAGAAGAAGGAGAAAAAGTAAATGATCAAGAACAGAACAGTATAGGAGACGAAGAGATTGTTCCCCAAGAAAAAGAAGTCGAAATAGCTGGTGGATACGAAGACGATGTTGTGAACCAAGAAAAAGAACAAGTAGCTGAAGAGACCGCGGGAGGGTGTGCAACGCCTCTTAGAGACGAAATACCTGAAACGATAGATGATAAAGTAGATCAAGATCAAAATCAAGAGGTTGTAGAAGATGCAGTAACCAAGGAAGCGGAAGCGGAAGCTTAATAATAAAAGTGAGCAAAACAAATTATTTCATTTTTACAAAACAATTTTATGATTTATTAGTTACTAGGACTTTATGGAAACTAAGATAGTAAAAGTACATACATTTAATATTAATTAAACGACGAAAGTGTTGCAAATATGTTGGATGAGTGGACTGAATAGAGAAAATACTTTTAGGCTGTGATAGTAGGTGTAGTGAACACAGGGGACCATGCTGTCTTGTGTCTAGCTTTATTTTTAAGCTAAAATTGAGTAAATAAACCGAGGATATTTTATTTATACACGAACGAAATCTTTCTTTTTTTCTATTATCTAACGATTCTATGAAAGTGTAATTCTTGAAATAGATTAATTGGTTAAAATTGAAGTAGCAAACTGCTTAAATACGTTGGTCTTAAACGTACACGGTGGTACAGAGTTTTTATATTTCTGAATTTTGATTATTAAACGATCTCCAATGACAATAATAGCCTTTACTTCTTTACTTTTATTGATAAATTTCGTATTAATGAAAACTGATTCCCACAATTTTTAATTGATAATGCAATATTTACCATGAAAATGTATTCATTAGTTGTGTAAAATTATGCACAAGGTAAATTCACTTCAGTATGACAAAATATACAATTATAATTATTAGTTGCGTTGAAAAGTATAACAGTATTGATTATAATTAATGCTATCGTGAGTTTTGTAATTATTTCGTAACAAAGGACATTTATTGGAAGGGTCTGCAAAAGGTAGGTCCGTTGTGTTCACAACTGACGGCTTCACAGGAGGAGCTTGTGTCGGCCCTCAAATTGAGGGACCGATACCAGGTATGGTCCAATTTTATTCTCTATACATGTTTGCAGCAAATTTGATTTGACATGATTATTATGGAAACTATCCGACAAATTGTTTTAACAATACATATGACATTTTTATTTGATAAAATATCGATATGCTTACTTTATTTCGAAGATTATTTAAAATTAACTAAACAGTATGCGAAGTGTTCAGTTTTTTATATTCGTGTACCATTAGTAATTTGTTTTTTATAGCGAATTTCTACTTGAAAAGGGCATAATATTCATGCTTGATGGCCTTAGTCCAGGATTTGTTTTCCTTCTTCCTTCATACAACGTTTCGCATCCTCAGAGAATATAGCGAGGGTACAAAATCTTTCTCTGGAGTTGAAATTTTACGCTCACTACATACTCTGAGAATGAAACAATACGAGTGAGCGAAACGTCAGTGAATTCGCCGAAGAAGGAGAATTAATCCTGCACCATGACCATCAAGCCCGAATATCGAGTCCTCTTTCGATAACTACGACTGTGAAAGCATTAGACTTTTTATTTTTACTTATCTAATTAATACCTAATTAAAATTTTTCATTATATATTTAATGATAAAAAAAATTATTTAAATAGTCCTTTTTTATTAAGTAGTTTTGGTTGTAAATATTACACTTACCTTTTTCAATTTCGTTAATTGCAATTATACAATAAATGTTAATAGAAGTATATGGCGGACTCGTAATTATTAATTAAAATGGTGGAGGATTATTTTGTGTCTTCATAACTATGGGGTAAATTTGTAAATCTTTTGGTATAGCTGTAATTTCTTTCTACATAACGAAATTACAGCTTTTCATTATTAGAGATTACAGAACAGTAGATATCTTCATTTTTTAACATAAATCTCCATGAACTTCTTTGTATCTACATAATTACTACTTTGAATACTTTTTTTTCATATCTTATTTAAATCTTTTTGTCGGAAGTTTCCATCTTGAAACATTACCAGTAGATAAATTGTTTATTTACTTTCAGTGTTTGCGTTAGTACTATTTTAAATGTAAATAAAACCGAATTGATTGTGCATCTTTGTAAAAAAAGAAAGTAACTCAAGCAACAAATTTAAAGAGATAAAAGTTAAAGTTTTACAATATTTGTTAAATAATAACAAAAGAATCATCAAAAAGTATGTAATTTATTTAATGCATGCTTAGGGTGTTTAGGTGTTATAAATAAACAAAAAAGCCTAAAAAATATTTGGATGCAGTGCATGTTAGAAATTAAATTAATGTTTTATTGTAATTTTTTTAAATATCCCTTTTCGTGAGTAAAAATTGCAGAAATTGATACAATTTTCTAACGTGCGTTTATTATAGCGATTATATAATTATAATTTTCCCTTTTGCTTTATTATGATAGTTTCCTAACATTATTTAAAAAATTGTGTAACTGCAGGTTGTGTGTTAGTTACGCAAATCTTTTATCAAATATTTTCAATGTAAATGCACAGATTAATTTAAAAATAAATTATCGTGTTATAAAAATACTTTTTATGGATACATTATAAATGTGTTTATAAACTACAAATTATTTTTTGATACTCAGCTAGTACATTAACTTTTAAAAAAAATGAAAACAAAATCACTATAATTGCGTGGTTTGCCTTCTGCAGAATTCTTTAAAATATATATTTAAAACACTTATGGGGTACATCTCTTCGCAATCTTATCTTAAATTTTACATTAGTATCGTATGTGAACGAAAATCAAAAATGAATCCTCATGTAGGGGTAAAATTTTTTTAAAAAGATGATCTGGCTAAATGATTACATCTTATCGTAGACACTAATAAGTAATGGACGACGACATTTGTAAATAAAGCTTTATAACCTATAAATTTTGTAATAAAAATGTTTCTTTATTACAATGGGTTATCCTTACATAGCGGAAAATCTATTTCTAATGATTCTGTTAAGTTTAACAGCAGTTGCAGGTGATTATATGGTAATTCATTTAAACTCCAAGGGCTACCAAGCAATTTCAGATAATGTTACTCATGCTGTTATCGGAGGCTTATCTTGGTTTATTGTATGTTTTAATTGCAAACGGTACACTCACAGAACTCTTTTAGAAATATTTTCATGTACCTTTTTTGCTTCTATAATTGATATTGATCATTTTGTTGCTGCTAGATCTTTGAGGTTAAAGGTATTGAAGAATACATTTCTATAAACCTTCGCAGCAAATTTAAAATAATTGAGTTTTCAGGATGCAACAAATTTGTATAGTAGACCAATTCTTCATTGTTCGACTGTGCCATTGGTTTTAATTGTAACCTTAACTGTATTAGCATTTTTGACTCAATCGAAATGTATTATGGTATGCTCCTTAATAATGTTGACCGCATTTGGTAGTCACCACACAAGGGATGCTACAAGACGAGGGTATTGGTTTTATCCTTATGGTTCAACACCTCCAATACCTTATAGATATTATATTTTAATTACTATTGCTATTCCATTTTGTATATCTCACTTTTTGAACTTCTACTTACAATTAGAAATGTATACAAGAAGAGAACACATCACTGTTTAATATTATTTGTTATTATACTGACGCTGTTGATTCAATAAAAGAATTTATTTCATTAATCTGTTTAATTGTACAGACTAATTTAATTAACCCAGTGAAAGACCTAAAAAGCGCACTTAAAATTATTAAAAGATGGAAGGTATTTGCTAAACTTTAACAATTTATAATTATGTAAAAAAGTATGGAGAATTTCATGGTGTCAACGGTTTTCCAGTGCGTTGAGAAATAGGAATCATTTTTGTTAAAATATATACAATAAATTATACTCAAATAACGCTCATCAACTTATTGAGAGTGAAAACAAAGATTTGGTACTTTCCGTCATGGTATTAACCACCTGCAAATTCAGTTTATACAGTAAGTACACATTTTTTAAAATATTTGAAGGCCTCATACTTTTATTATTACTTTATTTTGTTTTTATTTTTCAATTAGATCGATAATTACCTATATAAAAACTGTTCGATTATTATCGATTTTATGATCTCTTAATTTTCCAGTAAGTTGCTATAGAAGTTGTTTCTAATTTAGTTTCTGGCACCTTGATAATGTTTAATATTTTAAATATTTTGATTGATTGCTTTATACTATAAACAATACGATANACCTTTTCTATCCACGTTATCCTCATCATTCGCCTATAACACCTCTTTTTATTAAAGGCGACACGACCCTGCGCTATCCTCTGCTTTATATCCCTACTACTCCTTCCGTCCTGGCTTATCTAACTTCCTAGATACCTAAAATCGACCACTTCTAATTTTTCGTCTATTAGTTGTTTCGATTTTTTGGTTTAATGTTTCCTAAGATTTAACTAAATAATGATTTACTTTAAAACATTAAATAAGTGCTTATTGAACGGAATCACTGCTGAATTTTATATTTTTGTGGAATTACCCCTTATACATTGTGTTTTGTTCGCAGGTCGACATAGGTGTAGTGGTTTATATAACAATAGGTGTATTTGGTGTATTAATAGCACTTATAATTGGAGCATTGGTAGGCATTTACGTATGGGTCAATTCCCTTTCGAGGCTTCTGAAGAAACAGGACGATGACGACCCTTATAAAAGTTATTTAAAGTAAATACACTTTGCATACCTCAAAGAATCAGTGATGCTTGATGTTTATGGTCCGAGGGGGGGAGGTCGAGTTTCAATACAATGTACATTTAAGAAGAATCTTTCTCTTTTACTCTTCAACCCTTTGATATTTCGCTGTAGGTTTGAGAGGTTTCGGAGAGCCTAGGAGAAAGGATGCATGTATAGTCAGTTGTTAACAGATGGCGTTTGAAAATTATTTGCTTTCTATACTGCATGATTAGGTACTGAATTGTTTTTGTCAGCGAGCAGTCACTGATTCTGTTACAATAAATAATTAATAAAATCAAATCATAATTGAAACTGTATGAGACGTGTTTATTGTACTTTTAAAAAACTATTAAAATGACTTTAAAACAGATTATTAAAGAACTTGTCGATAATGTTTCGACCAAGTCGATTTATAGTTGAGAATGGTCTACTTACAATTAATTCAAACAATACTGTCGAGTTCTTAATAAACTGCTTTCAAGTAATGAGCTTCGTTTATTCGTTCTTAAATACATTGAAATTATCCATATTACTTTGTTTTGTTTTTTGTTCCTCTAGGAAATATCCGAGCATCCCTCGGATGAATCCAGTACCTGGTGAAGAATTATCCAAACGATACGTTATGTCTACCGGAAATACAGATTATGATTCACTTCCTTCTCAAAAGTTTTCCAGGAACCCACTGACCAGCAGATCTATGATGGAAAGAAGAATGTCTCCGTCAGTAATCGGGGAACTGAACAACAGGATTTCCAGCTATATCTATGTATATATAAATAGAGACAAATCATAAAGCTGTAATAAAGGCCGATAAGTTTTTTGGTGATTATACTATGTACTTACCTATCTAAATTTCACAGTCTGTACATTACTTTATCTTGTCAGTAAAAAAGATAACTTCGTATAAAACTTGTTGCCAGTTACTTTAAAAGTATCTGAAATCGCAAAATTTCAGTGTTCATATATTGACTGCGTATTAAAGGTTCTTATTTCAATAGGCGCTAAATCGAAGTTATAGATTTTAATAGGTACATTGGCGAAAGAGTTTAATTTGTTTTCGGAATTTTTTAATCTGCAATTATGCGCATGGGTATTGAAATTATTATTTATTGTTATTAGTGGCACATACATGTGACCATTTGTTGGTTTAAATTATAGTTTTTGAATACACATGAATAATAAGTAATTATTGAAGATGGAAATGCGTGTATTAATCCTCTAAATTAAGTATGCTTACTAATAGATATAGGAGATAAGATAAAGGGAAAACAATTCGTTTTAGTAACAGGGACTGTAGTGCAAAATCTTTGTTGAGTTAAGAAGGATTATATCCATACGTGTTTAAAACAATGGTAAGTACGAAATTCATACACGCTTAACTAATTTTTTTTGTTACCTTCCTGTACGGTAATTGTATGCATTTTTATCCCATTTTATTCATTCTGGTTCAACACCTCCAATACCTTATAGATATTATATTTTAATTAAGTACATATTATAATGCCCGTTGATCTTTGCTTCTCAATCGTTCGTTCCAGAAAAACAATTGAGAAGAAGATCGACTGCTATAATCGAGCAATTGAACAAACTGTTTAAACAATTAAGGTACCTATAATACCAGTTTCTCTTTGCTTTTTATTTGTTCGTGCAAGATTAATAACTCATGAGAAGGTTCATCGTTACAATCGACCAACAGTTGAACAAATTGTTACTGTTAGTGTACATATTCGTTCGCTAGATGGTACTGTTGAGTGTCGACTATGACGCTGGTGTATCCAGCCTGCGTCTGCGCGTGTAAAGGTTTCAATTCGTGGCCGTAGACAGTCGCCTGGGACTGCACATGCGCCTGATTGTTATTAAAACAGTTCATAAAGTGTTGACCGTGGATAGTGTCAGAACATACGTATGGATTACTCAGTGTCTGAAGATGTAACTGGTGGTCACTTTCGGTACTACCACAAGAACTCGATGAAGCACTGTACGGTCTATGTTGGGTTTGGTTGGAGTTTATGGAATGAGACGTTAATTCTGATGACTCCGAATAAGGATAGAAGAACTCCTGGTGGGAGTGGGAGTAGTACGGGTCGTCGTTAAAGTTGTGCAAGTAGATGGGATACTCGGGAGGGAAGACCATAGTTCCGTTTGAGTCACATCCGTACTCGTCATCTGGAATGGAAGATGTTGGGGTCGCTATGGTAGCAGGTTGAAGGCGCTGAACGTGGTACTTGGATTGGGAAAGGGATCTTGGGGGAGTATGTAAAGGAGAGTGCTTTTCCAAAGGGGTGGGAGTGGAAGAAAGGTTCTCGCATGCTACTCCTTGGGCCACGTTCAGAATGCAGTCTTTAGCTTCTAAATCACTAAAAATGTTACGAATATTAATAAAGTTTTTTTGAGAAATATGCTTTTTTTTACNATTTAACTAAATAATGATTTACTTTAAAACATTAAATAAGTGCTTATTGAACGGAATCACTGCTGAATTTTATATTTTTGTGGAATTACCCCTTATACATTGTGTTTTGTTCGCAGGTCGACATAGGTGTAGTGGTTTATATAACAATAGGTGTATTTGGTGTATTAATAGCACTTATAATTGGAGCATTGGTAGGCATTTACGTATGGGTCAATTCCCTTTCGAGGCTTCTGAAGAAACAGGACGATGACGACCCTTATAAAAGTTATTTAAAGTAAATACACTTTGCATACCTCAAAGAATCAGTGATGCTTGATGTTTATGGTCCGAGGGGGGGAGGTCGAGTTTCAATACAATGTACATTTAAGAAGAATCTTTCTCTTTTACTCTTCAACCCTTTGATATTTCGCTGTAGGTTTGAGAGGTTTCGGAGAGCCTAGGAGAAAGGATGCATGTATAGTCAGTTGTTAACAGATGGCGTTTGAAAATTATTTGCTTTCTATACTGCATGATTAGGTACTGAATTGTTTTTGTCAGCGAGCAGTCACTGATTCTGTTACAATAAATAATTAATAAAATCAAATCATAATTGAAACTGTATGAGACGTGTTTATTGTACTTTTAAAAAACTATTAAAATGACTTTAAAACAGATTATTAAAGAACTTGTCGATAATGTTTCGACCAAGTCGATTTATAGTTGAGAATGGTCTACTTACAATTAATTCAAACAATACTGTCGAGTTCTTAATAAACTGCTTTCAAGTAATGAGCTTCGTTTATTCGTTCTTAAATACATTGAAATTATCCATATTACTTTGTTTTGTTTTTTGTTCCTCTAGGAAATATCCGAGCATCCCTCGGATGAATCCAGTACCTGGTGAAGAATTATCCAAACGATACGTTATGTCTACCGGAAATACAGATTATGATTCACTTCCTTCTCAAAAGTTTTCCAGGAACCCACTGACCAGCAGATCTATGATGGAAAGAAGAATGTCTCCGTCAGTAATCGGGGAACTGAACAACAGGATTTCCAGGGAACAAGGACCTGGTGCCAAATCTAACGGATTTTATGCAGGGTATGTACCTGATTAAATATTTTGTATAAAAAGAACGAATGTTAAAAAATAATGAAAAATATTCTGAAACAATTTACTCGCTTAAGAATGATAGGAGAATTTTTCGGGCTTAAGAGTCGTGATCGTTGCAAATCAATGCTTGGTCTCTATTGGTCTTGGTCTTCAGACCAGAGTGTTCTTCCTAAAACTTAAAATCCTAAATGTTGGTTAATAGATAGTTCTTCCCCAAAAGTATAGAACTGAACAGAAAAACAAGCAATCTGGAAATAAGGTTCTTTTTTATTAAATTATACAATCAACACAAAATTATTTGCTTTCGGGTTGTTGCTTGTTTTTTTTTCAGTTAAAATCCAAAAAAAGACCACAGTCAATAATAAATCAGAATTCTTCAAGACACAAGCCGTAAAAACTTACATTTAAGTGTAAGACCCAAAGAAATTATTGCACTGTGTCATACTCATATTTTTTTAATATCCCAATAACGTAAAAATGTAAATCCCTGCCTATAATTATCTATCGATAAATGTCGAATTTATCAATTTTTATTTTTCTCTGAAGTTTTTATCAAATAATTCCACTGATTAGATTTTATCGAGCAAATAGAAAGATAATAGTGAGAATTCCAATATTTTTGTAAAAGATCTATACCGTTTCTGTCTTAATTTTTACTGTACAATTATAGATATTTCTGTTCATATAAATTCTTCAAAATAACGATTTTCAAATAAAAATTGTAATTTTGCAACTGTAATTCCTTCTTTAGTTTTAAAAAATTAAGTAATTTAAACTTTAGAAGAATTAGAAAGTAATAGATATCTCCTGCAAAAACTACTGTAATGACTAATTTTTCTACCCTGGGGACTATTTTGTTTTTTTTTTATTTCAGAGATAATATTGACTCTTTCAGTAAACCTGGTAAACAAGATGTAGTTTATTATGGAGGTGGGGCAGTGAAAGACAGGCCAAATATGGCGTACTGAGAATGTTATTTTTCCGTGTTTGTTTTGTTAATTACCCAATTTATATCGTACGTACCATTACTGATACTGTCTCGTTGCGAAATTTTATTAAAAAGCCATAGCAGACTTTTTATTTACTTAATACTTGTAACTTATAAGTAATACAAAATATGCAATATTAGATAATAACCGTAGTTTTTTCGGTTTTTTTTTTGATGTTCGTAATGCTTTAATTTTTGAACACTTTACTATCATGCATCACGCTTGACGTAGACAGTCATGTATTTTGTTGATAAGTTTTTAGTTGTCTATGTATGTATGTAATTAACTAGATATTTAATAGGATGATACGTAGGACACCCTGTATATATGATATTTTATCCCGGATTTCCAATGTTCCAAAGTTGGCCAAAGAAATTTACAAAGATATTTTTATACATAATTGTAATTTGTTATACTATTATCAATATTGTTAATAAAATATGCATTCTTTGTTGTTGCAAATTATTATTAGGAAGTAGTATAGTTCTGCTACAGGTTTTCTTAATTAAGAAATTAACGCTGTTCCTTAAAACATTAGTAAAAAGTAACAAAATAATAATTCAATGTTGCTACAAAACAATGCAAACAATTAGCTAGAACAAAAATCCTTTACTTTTTATTTTAATTGTAATTCCTAACGTATTTTTCTTTTATTAATTTCTAACAGGTGCTCACTATTTATTTTTCTTCTTACTATCTTTAATGTTTTTGAGGTTCTTATAATTCTGTTTCCATTAATTTCTAATAATGTGAATATATTTTCCTTAACGTACACAGACGTTTTTGGAAATAATATGAAAAAATTTTCTTTACGTAAACTGCTTTAAAATGAAAGAAGGTGAAGACAAGGTCATTAAACAGATCACATCTTGTTTTTAAATGTGTATCTATTGGGAATTTAGTTGTTTACGAGAATTTTTAGTAATAACACGGACATTTCTTTATTGTGAGTGAATTATGCGGATAACATCTTTTTAATACTTTTAATTAGAACAGAAGTGAAGAAAAGTGCAAGTGAATTTGTGCCAATAGGATATGTATAAGGGATTGAAGAGATATTTTCTTCTCGGACAATAACAGTAAGTTTTTTGATATGTATTTTGTTTAATTAAGTACGCTAATGATTATTGAAGTCGATGTAATTAATAACACAGTCAGTGAATTATTTAGATGCAGTTACAATAACGCGTCCTTTAATGATTTTCTTTAATTATTATACGAATAAGATGCAGGTAGTTCACAAATGATTAGGTATTACATCTTTTTATGCGATGATAATTTTACTGAAAGAAGAAAAATTGGAAATGCATATATATTTAAATGTACCTATTAGAAATTACTCCAATCTACCCTGTTGAAATAAACCGAGTACGAAGCATTAGGAAGTTATAATAATGGTTGTGTTTTACTAATTGTAATAAGAAATTGTAGAAAATTGCTTTCGACAGAATAAATTGTCAAAGATCAAACAGAAAAGAAATTTAATTCATTGTAAGGTCAGCATTTTTAATTGATTCATAAGTTATTTTGTATTTTTGATGTTGACCAGTTCTTCCCCTCTAATAGTTAGTAAAAGAAGGAATAATAAGGGTTGTAGAACCAGTTTATTACGAAAACTATTTACCGATGTTTCGCCCCTTGTGCGAAATTTTTGTAGATATAGTTTTCTTAGTTCGGTGATAGTTGTTATCAGCGAAAGTAATAGAAAAGAAATAACACACTTCCCTGTTGGTAATCAACTAAGAGTGCCTGATTCAGGGATATAATCCAGACCAAATCAGGACCTTAATTAGCCAGATTAGAAAATTATTTAGGTTTGCCTATAGGCTTCGGATTTAATCAGGACCTAAAAAAACCAAATTTTAGTGAAAATCAAAATTAAAATTTCTAATGAGGTCCTTATGAAAAATAAATCTCGCACCTATTATCGTAAAACCAAGAAAATTTTTAGTCGGGTTTGTGGGCTGCTACCCTAGACAAAAATTTTCAGTCTCTCTCCAGTCACTCAGTCTTTCAGCGTCTCTAAGAGCGTCTCTCATAGTCTTTCACAGTCTCTCAGTTATTGCCTAGATGTTTTTATGGATCTCTCACAGTCTCTGTATGAGAGACTCGAACGATAAAATTGTTAATTCACAAAGAGACTGAATGAATAAAACTGAAAAATTGAGAGACTCGAGTCTCTCGTAGAAAGACTGGGATCTCTGAAATATGTTGAACTTAGAAAATTTTAACCATGTCTATCGAGACACCACTTATTGAGAGATTCGAGTCTCTCGTTCAGAGATTCGAGTCTCTCGTTCAGAGATTCGAGTCTCTGGTTTAGAGACTGGATACAAAATGAGGACCTCTCTATGAGCGACTTAAACAGTTTCTTCGACAGTCTCTCTGCGACACCAGAGAGACTCGATGAGAGACCGAGACTCGGGTACTAATTGAGCAATTTTCACGAATGGAATATTTTCCACCATCGAATGGAAATCGCTTTAGGGTATGCCTAATTATAAGCCAAGAAATTTTTTTTTCGGATTTGTGGGCTGCTACTGATTGAACAATTTTCACGAATGAAACATTTTCCATCATCGAATGGAAATCGCCACATGTTAATATTTGAATAACGTAAATGTTCGTCCGTATAGGTATACGTGTGCTAGGTACACTAGACAATGAGTATTGGATAGATTTGCATATCGTGATCCCTGTTATTACATCGGTTTGTTTTGGGGCCGTTTGACATTGAAAAGAACGGTTTTCCGCGTGCAGTGATTCCCACCGGCGGGTGGCTCACCCTTTTGCGTCGTTTCCACGGTAACGGCACACTTGTACGCCCGACTCATCTGATATGTTTGTCTAAAGATTTTATACCAATTACATTCCAGTTTGCCAAAGCGCTTTTTTTTAACGTTGAAGGGCTCTCGCCAAAGCGGAAAGTGTACTATTTAAGAGGACTTGTCTAAAATTTCGCGCGAAACCTTAAAAGGGGATTTATATTCATTCTCCTGAAAACAAGAGGACTTTTGTTCATGAGAACGATGGCAGTTTCATGAGGAAATCGATTTCGTTTTGTTTATTTATAATGTACAGGGTGTACTTGTCGGTAGTAATTAAAATAAATGTTTGAAATATTCGCATATTCAAATGACCAAATATTTAAATAATAATATTCAAAATTTCAAATGTCTGGATATCCAAATAGCTGAATACTCACACCTATTTAATTGTGACGTATGATTTGGATCTCCAAAACTGTATAATGAGCAGTTGGGAAATTTCACTGAGAAAGTGTTTGGTATTGTTTATTCATATAGATATTAGAAAAATCATTGATCTGCTAAGATCGTTACAAGGAAGCTTTTGATTTAGTCGTCACAGTCGAATATCATAAAAAAAAATAAAAACCACCATTTTACGAATGTAACATTTAAATAAAGCACAGAAACCCAAAACTACAAATAAGTGAATTTAAAAACAAATACATACAATTATTTTTGGTTTTAGTTTTAGTGTCCTATTTAGTTTGGTCCACATAACTCAAATTGAGGTTCTACCAACAAAATTAGTTTATTTCTTGTAAATTAATTAAAAATTTTAAAAAATGTAGTAATGGACATCCCTTCTTACATAAATATATTGTTTGTTACACTAATTGTTGAATAAGTATATATATACTGTATGCGAACTATAACGGAAACTGTATGTCCAGCGCATCCACCAAAATTTGTTAAAAAATGTTTTGATTTTAACAAATTGCATGTTCTGATTCGAATCTAAAGGCCGTCATATATTGCAGCATTGATATATTTGAATAGATGTTAATAAAATTTAAACTTAACGTTGAAAAACCGACTTCAATACTTTGGGAACAAACTTAAAATAAAAGATTGAAGTGGTTGCGTTTTATTTATTTTTCCAACTACTTTTTTATTATCATTCTCTAACATTCATTCCACCGTTGGAGCTGGAATATTCTGTTCAAATTTATTATCTAATAAAAAAAATATTAAAAAAAAATGCAGTCGAATTGAAAATTAGAATTAAAGTATAAAAATTCTTCTTGACTCCTTAGAAAGTAATATATATATATACGAATGCATTGTAAAGTCCTTGCTTGATGCTTATCTAATACAATAAACGCAAACTTGTGTGGATTCACGATTTATTACATTCTTGGAAGAAATTCTCTAAAGTAGTAAATTCGTATCGTATGAAATGTCATTTAATTTTAATTTTTGTAACAACTAAAATCTCAAATGCATTAAAATATCTTGTGCTGCAGGGAAACTTTTCTGAATTGTTTAAAATCTGTTTTCGTTCGAAGAAGAAAAGACAAAAGATATTAGTCCCATCGTCATTAGTTGGTAACACGTGACTTTTAAACATCAGGAGGACGCTCGTCAGCTTCTTTAATAACAGCTTTTAGTGCTGCAAACAAAAGCTTCAACATGACTCCAATTACATGCTCTATTTAGAATTATTTCCATACTTTCGTGCACTTGCCTCTTATTGTTAAAAAACAAACGACGTTCGGTTTCCAGTTGAGTTCAGTTGACGTGCGAGCACGTGGCAGATCGCTGACGAATGATCACAATGTGCTAGTGGCGTTCACGCGTTTCGCCACGGGAATCCCCGTTTTAACGAGACTTCTCTTGTTAAATTTACCCGGTCTCAGTCCAGCTAAACATCTTGCTCTTTGTGTTGAGATAATAACTAAGCCAATTGACTCTTGATAAAAATGTTACCATTCTCAAGATTTATAAACGCACACTTGGTATGCGTATAAGGTTATGCAATTATTATCCATATACTTGCAAAGTGCCTAATGCTGAAATCCATATAAATACAAATGAATCGCTAAATGTGTTGTTATGCGCAACGCTGGAGAACGGCTGGACCAATTTTGATTATTGTTTCTAAATATTCCTTGAAGTCTGAGGAAGCAACTTATGAAGAGAAAAATTGGAAAAATTGCTCAGAAAAACGTAAAAACCAAATTCAAACTGTTCCTACCTGTCAATTCTAGGGAATTGACTTGAGCACGGCTCAGCCGATTTGACTGATTTATTTTTCGTTGTATTTGTAATTGACAGGACAAGGTTTGTATGAAAGAAAATTTTTGGAAAATACACGGAAAAATCCGGTAATTTGGATAGTATTTTTATGGAAAACCTTTATGTTACAAATTTTGACATTTTTGTTTCTGGTCAGATTTACATGAAACTTTATATTTATGCTCATTGGCATAAAGTCAAACACCTATTTCACAATTATAACCTCTGAAAGGGGATGAAAAGAGGTTTATGAGTTTTATATGTGATTGAATTTACTTGAAACTTGGATCAAAAATTAAGCAAATACGTATTTTAGCAATTTTTAAAAATTAAGGATGAAAAGTTGTTGCTATGATTGTGTTTGAAATCTAGTATGGCGTCATTACATAAAATTAAAACTTTGTAGGGGTGAATTGAGTTAATAAATTTTACGGAGAATTTCTGCGATCAAACTTTTGACGTCAATCAAAACAAAACAAAGAATTATCTTTGATATGTCTTCAAGTTGATTAAACTGTATGGATATTATACTTCATTTACTTTCTCAAGCGATGTGCCCCTTCCAAATAGTAAGTAGGGAAAAAAAGCTCATTATACTCTCGACTCTTGTTCATTAAACATACTTTTTCATACAGTACCTGCCAAAAGTTTTGTTCAATCATGAATAGTGCGAATCGAAAACAAGCGTTAAAGCCTTTAATATGTCTTCAAATATAAATAAACATCTCGTTGATATTTTCAGTAGTAAATGGTACTAATAACAGCATATTTGAGCAATGCAATTGTAGTGGATAAAATGGTCAATTTTTCCGTGCAGTACTGTACGGATTGTACGCTCCTAACCGGTTAAGAGAGTTGTCTCGTTTCTTTTCTGGCCTAGTGCTGTTCTTTTCTACTTTGCGCCAGTCAAACTGAAGGTCACATCGCTACAGAAACTAAACGAAGTATAATTGATCGCTCTTTAAGCGGTTTTCTAGCATACCTAAATATTTGACAGAGAATGCAAAAAATAATAAAAATAACAAATTTATTCGACATTTGGTCTGATATACATACGTGTACACTTTTTTTAATAGGATTATTATTTTGCACATTGTAATGTATGGTAATTTACATATAGATATAAATTTCACAGTCTTAAATTTATTGTCGCAAACAAACTATTTACATGGATAATATTTATGTACACTAGAACGTTATGTATACTTTTTTACATATCTACATTTGCTCTGTATGGAGGCTCTTGTACGCACATATAGGTACGAAGTTTAAAATTTAAAGAAGTTCTCGGTAAAGCGCCACTTCATCTGAAAACATTTTCTTCTATTCAACTGTACAATTTCACAAATTGTCAGATATACATATGTATGTATTGTTATAATATAATGTAATATAATATAATATAATTATATTGAACGTTGTAATGCATGTACTTTACACTTATGGCACTTATACTCGGGATTTACAGGATACTACATCATCGGCAAATTAATTCAATTTTGCTTTATGTTGCACTGCAAGCTTAAAATCAAAATTCACTAATAAATAATTATATCAATAATACTACTACGTATATTATATGGTCCACCCAAAATTTGTAAAGATACGTATGGTACAAAAATAAATAATTATATTTTAATTAAGTACATATTATAATGCCCGTTGATCTTTGCTTCTCAATCGTTCGTTCCAGAAAAACAATTGAGAAGAAGATCGACTGCTATAATCGAGCAATTGAACAAACTGTTTAAACAATTAAGGTACCTATAATACCAGTTTCTCTTTGCTTTTTATTTGTTCGTGCAAGATTAATAACTCATGAGAAGGTTCATCGTTACAATCGACCAACAGTTGAACAAATTGTTACTGTTAGTGTACATATTCGTTCGCTAGATGGTACTGTTGAGTGTCGACTATGACGCTGGTGTATCCAGCCTGCGTCTGCGCGTGTAAAGGTTTCAATTCGTGGCCGTAGACAGTCGCCTGGGACTGCACATGCGCCTGATTGTTATTAAAACAGTTCATAAAGTGTTGACCGTGGATAGTGTCAGAACATACGTATGGATTACTCAGTGTCTGAAGATGTAACTGGTGGTCACTTTCGGTACTACCACAAGAACTCGATGAAGCACTGTACGGTCTATGTTGGGTTTGGTTGGAGTTTATGGAATGAGACGTTAATTCTGATGACTCCGAATAAGGATAGAAGAACTCCTGGTGGGAGTGGGAGTAGTACGGGTCGTCGTTAAAGTTGTGCAAGTAGATGGGATACTCGGGAGGGAAGACCATAGTTCCGTTTGAGTCACATCCGTACTCGTCATCTGGAATGGAAGATGTTGGGGTCGCTATGGTAGCAGGTTGAAGGCGCTGAACGTGGTACTTGGATTGGGAAAGGGATCTTGGGGGAGTATGTAAAGGAGAGTGCTTTTCCAAAGGGGTGGGAGTGGAAGAAAGGTTCTCGCATGCTACTCCTTGGGCCACGTTCAGAATGCAGTCTTTAGCTTCTAAATCACTAAAAATGTTACGAATATTAATAAAGTTTTTTTGAGAAATATGCTTTTTTTTACCTTAGTACGTAATTAACGGATACGACGCAGTGGGGCCTTGATGAGCGGGTGTTATGTACAATTGTGGCGTAACTTTGCATCCAAACCCAGCCTCCCCCTTTGCACAAAAATCGGAAATATTTGGTGGTAACTTGCCCTTTGCAAAGTACTGTAACGAACGAGAAATGCTTCAGCAAAGAATATTGTAAGACAGTTGTGATTTTACAACCACGTAAAGTATAATGATTCATGGTTCATCGAGATTTGTTTAGATCATCGAATACAAAACACAAACTTTTGTCGTGAAATATATTAAAATAAAAGGAAAAAATTAGCATTCCACAATAAACAAAACCTTTTAAAGGTATTTGCTACCTTCACTTCGGCTTTTTCGTATTGGAAAAACCATTTCTGTACCCAAGGATCATTAGAATTAAAGTTTCGGACAATTTCTAATAATTAATTAGCATTGTAGATTTTCGGTTAATCTGGCCAGAGTCATTATTGACACGATGTTGTTATTATTGGGGATTCCCGGCCATATGGTGAAATGACCTTTCGCAACAAATGCTCCGGTTTTTGTTGACGAACCTGTTCGTTGCAACTGCCGTGAACATGGATAGGAATTTATCAAGTTTTCCATTAATTTGGTTGAGAGTTAGGGATGGAACGAGAAGGGGGGAGGGTAGAAACGGATACGGAAACGGCAGCGAACAAACAAGCGCCTGTGCAAACACGGATAACAGGGGCTGACGTTCGCCACGACTCAGGCCGTTATTGCCATCATTAACCCTAGTTGAAGGGAAGTTCCTAACGACATCGGATAAAATTGACACGGCCGACTATCTCAGGTGCGCGATTATAACGATATCCCAATTTATAACAAAAACTGAATGACGATGAGCGACCAAAACTAAAATGAATTAAAGTAAATTCGTCTTCCTTTTTTTATGATGACATGAAGAAAGGAAAACCAAAGGAAACAAGCTCGAATCGAATGAAGAGAAAAGGAAATTGAATGTAATGCAATTGCTATGAATTTCAAGGATCTAGGAAAAAAGCCACCGAGAAAAAAGCCTTGGAAAAAATCACCTAAAATTTATTCTAAACGTTATCATATGATTTAAAAACTTAACACTTCAAGTTATTGTCTTTCTTGATGATAACGTTGAATAGACAGCATGAGTTCTAGTTAATTACCTACTTGATTTGTTTTATTTTTGCTAATATTTGTAACAATAATATTATGTTGTTTGGTTGACTTCCCAAGAAGGACTTATTAATACGAAGAATATCAACATTAAATCAATTAAAACAACAAAGGAGAACGTTGCAACTAATTATCTACTCGATCTATTCTTATTTCTATTAAATTGTATTACGAACATTCTGTACGTTTATTT